CTTATCGCTACGCGAATATCGTCTGTCTGACGTATTGCTTGATAATCCGATGTCGAAAAATGAAATTTCAACACATCGGGTCTGTTTGCTGAATTGGCTGCATTCAGAGTTTATCTTTTTCCTTCCAATGTAAAGTAAAAAAAAAAATAGGAAGCGTGTGCTACAGTGATGGCATAACTGAACATGATTGATTGCTTATCGTAGAGCTTGGCAGATCTGCTCAGTGGGAGTGGGTGTTGTTGTCGAGTCGAAAAGATAAACTCTGAACCATCAGTGCAGTCAGTTCAGTAACAGAAAACAGATCCATCCTGTGCATCGCGATGGTATATCCGTAGAATGACGCGACTTCTAATATCCGATACGGTATTATAAATGAGGAGGATTGCGTTATTCTAGAATAAGACCACACTAATTCAATGGAATTAATCTTTGTATGTATAAGACTTTTGCTTATAATTGATTTCTCACACGCTTTTTATAAATTGTTTTACATTTTACGTATAACATATCGCATCCCGAGAAGAATACTGTGACAACTTAAAAAATTCCGATTTTGAGTTAAGCACATGAAAAGTATACTTGAAATGTTGCCTACGTACTATAATAGTGTTATCTAAGTGCAAAATCCGCTGCACGAAGCGGAAATGTTATTCTTTTAAACCGGTTATGTTGCGGTTTCCTGGATGAAAAGTGTTATAAAGGAATTGATAAATTACAAATGAATCACAACAGACCTCTTCAAGAAACAATATAAGTTTCATTATAACAGAATATAATTGTAATTGTGTTAGTTATCTCACAATTTAAAAAAACTGAATTAAATTTGTTTTTTTTTCTCCTGAAAACTACGAACTTTTAAAATTGTTTTTAGTTTTTAGTTGTTGTGACAGTATTCTTCTCGGAGTGCGATATTTTAAAAAGATTGCCGTTGCCTACATTCAAGGGGATTAAAGTCTCTCTCTCTATTATTTGTTATAGTAGATCGAGGACCTATTTTATCGAGGTACTTTCTTATCGATGTAATCAGTCTTCATGCTAATATGCATTCGCGTGTTTTATTCATTTCAAAAATAGGCTGATCCTTTGCTTTTCAGACAAAACCATTGCAGAATCCAGCCGGTTTCCGTAATCGACAGTTTCGCTCTGGACACACATAGTTGTTTATCAAGCGAGACCAAGTTTGTTTTGTGAATTCGCATCGATAGTTTAACAATGTGTCCACCAAGTACCGTACTTTGGTGCTACGTGCTTCTGCTCGTTGCTTCGTCCTCGAAGTCCTTGGAGTCTCTGAAAAATTCTATAAACAACGATGAACAGAGAGGCAACCCGACAGTGCGGCATGATCTTTTTGAAAACTCTATGAAAGATCGAGACGACGAAGTGTACAATTTGCGCGAAAATTCTACCAAGAATGACGACAAAACGCGGCACGAACCTTATATTAATTCGAATGAAGCATGTGACCACGAGACCTGCATTCAGCTCTGCTGCCCTTTCGGTGATCGTCTAACGTCAGGGAAAAAGTGCGTCGCTGGGCAGAATAATTACTCTTTTCCAGACGTCTATAATCAAAACAATTCCGTGAGTAAGAAGCTGGACGAGTTATTTCAACTGACCGTCAACCATCCGTGCGTTCTGCAAGGAAGTGCGCACCGTATTCTTGATCCCGACGAGTACTCGTTTCTCGTCAACGGCTCTTTATATTATCGAGATTCTGGCGAGCTCGTTCCATCGACGTCTTACTGCCTCGGCGCCTTCGATCGGAACACTTATGATGCGGTTATTTGCTTGGATCAAATTGGCTTTCCAACATATATACCCATATACCTCCTGCTGACCTTGCCGTTCCTGGTGCTGACGTTTGTGATATATTCCATATTGCCCGAGCTTCGAAACCTACACAGCTATACGTTGCGCGTACAAGTCGCCTCGTTATTCACCACAAACGTGGTTATATATTTCATCCAAGAGATCCCTGAATTATCTGAATGGCCATATTGCATTCCATTGGGTACAGCATGTGTAAATTATATAATAATGTAGCAATGTAGCTTCTATTTATAAGACTAGATATATCCGCGTATACGATCTTTAAAAGTTTAAAAAATAGATAATATTTAAATTCTAAATGTACATATATGTGTACATATAATTCACATTTGTGTGAATAATTTTTTTATTTAAACGTTGTAGAAATTATACTGTGCCATTTATTAAATTCATTTTCATCTTGTTACAAATTTGCAATAAAGGAAGATTGAGAAAATCTCATAGAGAAGCATAATAACGATAAGTTTTATTTATTAATTCTAATACATGACGATTAACGCATTATTATTTAATTTATTATTATTTTCCTTCCAGCCTACATTTTTCATTTCTCAATGTTAGCGGCTTGCTTTTGGTTGAACGCAATGTGCATCGACATTTGGTGGACGTTCAGGTAAGCTGTCAAAATGTTAAACAATAATTTGTTGTTGGCTAAATATAAATCGCACTTCACAGAAAACTCGATTTACAATCTGCACACGGAAAGAAAAAGAAAAGGAAAATCATGATATACTCTATCTATGGATGGGGAGTCACTTTCATTCTCACAGCTGTCTGTGCCATCATGGATCATACTTCCGGCATACCGAAAAGCTGGATTCGACCGGAAATGTGCAAGAGAAAATTTTGGTTTGGTCGTAAGTGACAATGAAATCTCTACTAGCGGTGGTGGAACATCTTACTAAAGTGTTGATAAATATAACTTTCAATTAAAACTATACGAAGAATCCATTTTCCATTTTAGCGATTGATGCATTCTCAGTGTATTATTACGGACCCACGGGTATCGCTTTTGCTAGCAACTATTGCTTCTTCATCGCCACGGCACTAGCGATTCTGTACCATAATAAACATACTGCCCATCAGCTGAGAGACTCAGAGAGCCGGTCCTACGATAAAAAAAAGCGCAAGTCCGTAGAATTCATAGTCGAAAAAATTAATCTCATCCAATGCAATTCGCTACAAATTGCATATGCAATTTATCGATATACTTCCCGTTTTCACATAAAACAAAATAGTCGTGCCATTTATAGATAAAAATATTGTTACTTGTTTAAATGAAAAAATATGATAACTTTTCAACAACATTTGTTTTCATAAATGTTTTTCTAATACTGCTAGAAGACACTATGTATCCTATTCACAGTAATGACTGTAATAACAAATGATACAGAAATGTATTTGCTCACAGGTTTAGTATGTATCTGAAGCTGTTCATTGTGATGGGAGTAAGCTGGAGTTTGGATGTAATATTGTGGTTCGTCAACACCAGCATTCCCATACCGACGACCATTTGGTATATCAGCTACATGATAGACATTTCGCGAGCCTTCGTCATTTTCATCGTATACGTGTGCAAAAAGAAAGTCTTGCAGCTGTTGCTAAAACGATTCGGTTGGCAGGGTCGCGGTCCGTTTGGGAATGTTTCATTATACACTCATTCTACTACGTCCTCGAATATGTCCCATCGGAACTCATCGACATCGGGAACATCCATGAAAGATATCGACCCTTCTGTCAGTCAGCAGACTGATCCTAATGTCGAATCCAATGCAAGATTATAGGAGAATTCTATTATGGATGTTAATAGTTAATTAGCATCATAATTTAATTCTCCAATCAAGGATTGATCTTACATTATTATGTCTCCCTTTGGATATACTGATTTGTATATTTGTAAAACATTCCATGAAAGTCCCGTAAAGTTTATATGTAGTTATTATAGAATTGTTACGTTACATAAATATATGTAAATCGCTATTAATATGTTATATATAATAATAAAGAAGTTTCTTAAGCAATTTTTGTAACTTTATACAAATACCTATTTATGCAAATTGTAAGAATACTTTTTTAGTATTATTTGTGATTATTTAAGTTATTGGAAGTTACGCTCGAATTTACACAAAATCAAGTTTATATGAAATTTTTTTATAATTCTCTCTTTAAACAAACTTATCAAGATCGGCATGTCATAGCTTACCTATGTGGATATCTTTATACATGACAATCTTAAGGGAATATAATTAGAACGCTTTAGCGAATAACTTTATATTTATTTATTTTACTCAAATGGAAGGCAATCGATAAATTCGCAACAAATAAAAATAAATAACACTCTCTCTAGCAATAATTACGTGATCGTTACTTAAGAGTATATCATTACAATAAATTCAATGATACTTAATAACAAAAAACTTATATGTATACCACTCCTCACGCGCGCGCGCACACATGATGTTCATACCAAATGTGTGTGTGTGTATTTATGTGTATGTGTACGATGCTATTGCATCTTTTTATCGTTTTTTCCTCGATGCAATTGCGCGGTTTGTTATATACTCGATGAAGCTATGTATATATGTATAGATGCGTTCGGTTTACATACGTTACAGCTTGCTTAGCTGCCTTTACTTCGTCCTCGATTCGCACTCGCGAGTCATAAAGACTTACTACTCATACGTATACGCACATACACTGCAGAGATGCACCAAACACGACAGACTACCAGATTCGCACAGCCTGACAGATCGATCAATCATCGGCAGAATCATGATGAACGACTCGAACTTAAAATAATTACGCGATTGCAACGTCTCCAAGCATGATGTACGTTGCGACGCGAGTTCGATAAGATAGGGACGCGGCGTTCTATGATATAATATGATCTTTAATTAATTAGTCGCCTTTTAATTACCCTAAATAAATTCATTATGTCAAGCTCGCTACTACAAAACACACACAATCTCTTTCATTATATTTTACATATATATATGTACAGTATTTTACAGAGAACAATAAAATCCTTATTGTCATGAGGCAACGGATGGTGAGGAGTGTAATGATTTTCTAACATGATGCTTTTGTAGCAAGGGATATTTTTTTCTTTTTGGCACCTTCGTTTCTCACCCCGATGCCATGTTCCGTTTGTCGTGACAGACGAGTTTGCAGGCCGTGTTTGTTGTTTGCTTTAAAAGCTTCATACAACGGCGGGGAAAAGCAATATGGAAGCGATATCTTAAATGCAGATTAGCAAAACGCGATTTAAAAAAGCGGCTTTTACGCAGAATCAGCTACGCTGCAAATTGATCAATAGCTTATAAGCCGCCTTCCTACGAATAAAACGATATCTTCGACCGCGCAACTTGTAGAATATATAAGCGATCGATTCCTTTGGCACGACAGATAAATTATGAAATTTATAAAATTTATGGAATCGATGCTTATGAGCAAAATAAAAAAAAAGACGAATGTTTCTGCAACTGGCTCTGAGAGTCAAGGCAGGGGAGGGAAGAAGAACAGGAAGGCGAACCGGTTCCTTTAATTAAATGCATTGAGTTCCGGCTTAATTATTTCCGCGCGTATCTCGACGGATTCGGCGATGCGTTACGGCGCACGTTCGCGCTCCTCGTCTCCTCTGTCAGGCTCTCGCGCACACGGAACATGGCAGTACCTCGAGGTCTTTAGAATTCTCCATGAAGCGTGAATATGTTTGGAATGTTGCATCTTTTTTTTTCCTTTGTGCTCTTTCTCTGGTGAATGCGGGAGAAGAAATGTAACAATCGCGGACCAATGTGCCGTTTCACTAATGAGACTGTGGGAAAACGCTTTACTAATTTTTCTCTCATTCGAAAAAACTAACAACTTAAATACAGTACATTCTCTCTCTTTCTTTATTCATACTACATAACACCAGTTCCGCGCGGAACTAAAAAAGCTCGCAAGGAAAAACAACACTTCGAGGCACGTCGGTTGCGAGGAAAATTCGAAACGTTGCGGCATTATTACACATGGTTCTCTAAAAAAAGAATAAAGATTAACCGCGACGTTTCTTTTCTTTTTAGAAAAATCGCTGCGTATTGGGGTTTCGATTAGCACCATCGCTGTTCATAAACGTTGACACATGCACTCATATAAACGTATCACATGCACTCGTACAAGGAAACCTCTTGGTTGTAATTTTAACAAACTGTATTTTTACTTCTCTGTATCGTTACTTGTTACATTTCATAGAAACAACAATATATTTAAAAATTATAAATAATACAAACTTTTAAATAAAATATCTAAAAAATTAGAAATAGATATAACATTCAGATATTTTTCATGCATTTTCTGAAAGTATTTTTGTGAAACTTTTACCCCAAAAATATAATTTAACATCATAATGTAATAATGTAATTTTGTTAAAATTAATCCGAGGTTTCCTCGCTTTTTCTCAGGCAAGCACCCACTCTCTTTAAGACACATCTCTCTCTCTCACACACACACATACACACATACACTTGCTCTTGTTACCGAGCTCGGCAGCGCGGTCTTTCGTCGTTATGTCGAAATCCGAAGCCGCTTGGTCTTCGAGGAAGCGTCTTAAAAACGTTTCAGTGCAGGACGACGCGTTTCAACGCATAAAGCAACTCTCGCCTGACATAACGTTCCGAGACGAGATCCTTCGATTCGCGTAGCGATTGCCCGTCGTGCGACGTGCGTTGGCAGCTCGCAATACGCGTGGCTTCGATCTCCCTTGTTCGTACAGTTTGGAAACATGGAATGTCACAAAACAACAAAAAGATTACTAGTCGCGGTGGAAAGATCGAAGGACCGCGCCGTGGCTAAAACCGATCCCGGTGGCAATTGTGTAACTCGCTCGCGCGCGCAGCCGTTCCTACGATTTCATCGCTATTATAATGATTATCGATTAAAATACGCAATAATTCCTAACATCACATGCTCTGTGGCTTAGAAAATATGTATAGCTGCGCTGGAAGGCCCCCGAACTCGCGTATCCGTACGTTACACGACTCGCAGACGTCAGGCGCACGTATAGAAGTATATTTTACATATGTGTTTACGTATGTATATATATATGCGTATGTATATCTTTACAATAATTATCGTTATATTAGATTCTGTAAGTGTATAATTATGCAGTTATGTTACGATTAATTATGATTGAGGGAAAGGGGCAGGCATTTGGAAAGAGGGGATTATCCGCGAGGATCATATACGCAATGTCTCTCGTCTCCTTGCTTTGACACACACGCTATTTCTCACAGTTATTAAAACTCAAGCAACACACGACTGGACAGTAAAAACTAGCTTAAAAAACCTGTCGTAAGCTGACTCTTTGGAGAATTTTGAAAGTTGATTTCGGTCCCGGAATTTTTCTTATAGGTCCTTGTTCTTTTTGTATACGAATGGTCGGCCGCAGCATCCTCATGGACGCACATCGCTATTTCAGATTTTAATTCGCACGACGAGATGCGTGAGGAAACACTTTATATATATTTATCAGACATTATATTTTTGATGGAACGATCGATCAAAAGAACGACATGCGTTAGCATTCATTGATCAAAGAAGACCGAAAGATGACACGCGTGTCACTGGTCCATAATTTGACAGCCTTCTCGTTCTTAATTGTTAATTACGATAACGATCGCGCGTGATTATGTATTTTTTAAAACAGTAGGTATGCTTTCGAAATCAACATTCTCGTCTTGACGCGCGCGTATAAGTACACATTTGATATAATATTGATTAGATGCATCAGAGGCAAGGATGTCACGAAACGGCTTATATAAAATGCATTGGACAGACCCGACCAAGTGGCAATGCAACGATCTTTCTGCCCGCTGTTTCTTTGTCTATTTCGAATTATGATTTTTTATTACCTGCCGAGGATTAAGTACATAACGCCGGATTGCGAGAGAGTATCTCGGGCTAGGTCGCGAAGTCTACCTTGTCCCAGGTCATCGGAGATGATAGGTCGGACGACATTTTGAAGTCAGTGTCCTCCATATTAAAGAGATCAAACGAGTACTGACTGCTGCCTAATAGCGGGTCATAGATATCCGTGGTGGATGAGAGATTAATCGACGGAGTGGTAGAGTGATGATTGGGCGATGACAATATCGCAGAAGGTGGTGGCGATTGCGGCATCAGGGAATCTAACCAATCGGGATCATCCATATCCATCGGCATATCGCAGTCTAGTTGACCGAAGTCCATTGGATCCAATGTTTCCAAGTCCAATCCTAATTCCTAAAAAATAGAATATTAATTTGAATAATTCCACATGTGTTATCGATTATATCAAAATTTATTTTAACTAACATGCTAAAAAAAGTTTTCCTATTCTTAATTCTTAATTCTCAAATTTCTTTTTACGGAAACGTACTTTAAGATCCAAATTTGCATTGTCCGAAGAAGTCACTTCTTGTGGCGGTTGAGGATCCGGGGAAGCTTGTTGCATCGATTGAGGACTAAGCAACATCGCGGCATCCAGCTCCGCTTCGGATGTCAGGAGATCCGTGTTGAAGGGGGTAATTTCCTCCTGCTGTTGTAGCTGTTGAATTCCGCCGGGTAACTGAATGGAGAACGCGGTTAGCGGCAATGGCGGCGGTGGCGGTGGTGCCGGTGTTGACGGGCTCGAACAACCGCTCTGAGACACTTCCATCGGTATCGGACTGATCGGACTCATTGGACTGCCGGCCGTAAAGATTAACGATTGAGTTGGACTGTCTGCCGGTGCGGTGAAGACCAGATTCTGCTGTAGTTGGCGATTTGGAGTCGTGGGAGTGGCTGGATCTTGCGCGGCACTTGGTGGTAGTTCACCATTCTTGATGAGGATCTCCAACACGTCATCAACTACTTGACTCTTTATGTGATTCTTCTGGACCGGCTCGATCTTGACCTATAAGTAAAACGCGCCAAGTGACAAAGCAATTAATAAAGCGTTAGAAAAAATTAAACTATAACATTACAATATACACACTGATTATAAAATTATAATATCATAAAATTCATTTTAAAATTATAATTCTGCTCTTTGTAGAATTATAATAAAAAGTAATCGCACCTTTAGTAACTTAGCAGCTTCGTCATATTGCGGTGGTGGCGGTTTAATGTCTTCAGTAGTAGTAATAGCTGTTTGCTGTTGTTGCTGCTGCTGTTGCTGTTGAACCTGCGCCTGCGCTACAAGAGCACCAAGCAGCGAGCCGTTTAACTTGGTCGGTTTCGCCAGATTTAGAACGATAGCCGTAGGTATTTGGACAGTAGTACTGTTCTTGGATTGATTTTTCTTGTTGTTAATCGCGGTCAAAGTCGCAGAGTCGAGAATGGCGGTTGCATTGTTTGGTTGCGCTTGCAAGAAGGCCGCGAGACTCGCCTTCGCATTAAGTTGTTGAATTGCTTGCTGTTGCGTCTGTTGTTGGTTCTGTTGTTGCTGCTGCTGTTGCTGCTGTTGTTGTTGCTGCTGCTGCTGTAAATGCTGAAGCTGCTGCAAATGTAAAGCCAGTTGTTGCTGCTGCATTTTATTGTGTATGTGTTGCTGGAGCGCCAGCTTCTCGGCGCGCACCGTCGCCGGCTGAGTCTGGCGGATCTGCTGGAGCTGTTGCTGCGACTTGTATAGCTCGCGTTGTAATTCCTCTATTCGTTTCCTCTGCACCTTGATGATATCATCTCCTGAAACACGAACTGCGTCGTAAAAACACCCACGTGTGCCGTCTCTCGAATCAACAACCTCGCTCGAAAGTCTCTCATTGCCTCTCGCGCGCACACTTAAAGTGGCGCTCAATCTAACAAGGAGATATCGAGATGACGTTTTACCTGGCGGACTCGATGGGTCGTCGTGCTCGCTATTGTGGGGCGAGGCCGTTCGCGGGCTGTTCGGCTCATCCTTCACGATACAGCCCGGGCTCTTGACCTGAGAGCTACAGTCGTCCGTCGCCATCGGGCCAGGCGTGTCCATCAGGATGTGTCCCATGTGCGTCACATGTGGTCCATTAGAGTTGGTGGTCGTGTTGTTGCTGGACGACTCCGTGAAGGGTTTCAGTCGCTCGATCAGCTGCGGCTTCGAGCCCGACACCGGCAGATTCCGTCGTTTCAGTTCCACCTTGAGGTCGCTCACTGCAAACGCGATACGGGAAATTATTTTTCTTCTCCCAACGGATCTTCTCCGATGCAACTTCAATATTCATACCTTTCATCTCTTCAAGTTTGCCCAAAGGCCTTAATGGAGGCTGTTCCGAAGGATTGTTCGAAGAATTCGACGGAGCCGGGCTGGCGGCGTTTGCGCTACTTCCGCTCACACTACCAGCATCGCTCGCGCCGCTACTTGTGAGCGATAGCGGTTTCTGCGCGGCCGGCAAGATGATCTGTGGATACTGAGAGAAAAAGATTTTTTTATCTTGTATTTTTATATATTTTAAAAGTAAACATTTAGAAAAAATGATATAATTAATAAGCTTTTTTTTAGAAACAATTAAAAAAACGCAAATGGTTCTATCTGCATGAAATTATGAGGATACGTAATATAATTTTTTTTTCGCTTGCAAAAAGCTTCGCTATAATACACGCATCATCACCTTGTGTTGCCACTCGAGCTGCCATTGAAGGAACAGCTGTTGCTGTTGTAGAAGCAGCTCGTAACTGGTCTCACCGGGCTGCGCGCCGAGACCGGAAGTGCTAGACACCGGCGTCTTCTGCGCGTTTGGCGGGCCCTACAGCAAGAATCGTTACGTAAGGAAAACGTAAAAATACAACGTGAGCTTACGATCATTCGTTCGCAACAGTTGTACGCGATTCGCAACCCGAACAAAAGCCCGAATAAACCCCGCCTTTGTGCATCTCGCTTTACGTAATCCTGCTCGCGACCCGTGAACAGATTTGAGATATATTTCCTGACATCACTGTGTCTGGCGCCCGGTGCATCGGTGAAGAGGCGACCAAGGTAGGTAGGTGACGTAGCTCCGGTTCAGGCCGGGCCGAGTGATAAATGATACATCAAGATGTTTTCTGCGCCCTCATTTGCACGCCCATTCCCGGCTCGCTTTCACACCGGCCACGCTATATCTCGGGTGTTTTGGATCGCGCGAGCTGTTCGGGGGCCCGGCGGCTCGATTCGGCTCGGTGTCTATCGGGCCCCGAGGGAGAAGACCCCGCGCAGCCCGCTCCCTGGCTTCCTCGCTCTTAGGTGCAATTAGCGCTCGAATTACTCAGAGCTAACGAGGTGGGGCCCCGAGTCTTCCCCCTCCTCCCCCCTCTTTCTGGGGAGATCGCGAGAGTTAATCACCCGATACGATCTCCCTCCGAGACTCCCTCGGGGCCCGAGGCCGGGGCTCTCTGCGCTTCTTCGCCGCTCTCCGCGGCGGCCCACGGGAGCCGAGATTCACGGTCCGTGCTCGTTTTTACTTCGTCCTCTTCCTCCTCCTCCTCCTCCTCCTCCACGGTCACTTCTTCTTGCTCTCGTGTCGTCCTTTTTGCTCGCCTCGTCTTTTTGCCTCGCCGGTTGCCACGCCGAAATGCGGCCCTCCGTTAGCCCACACTGGCCGGCGCGCACACTTCACCACGGAAACTAGTTTGTAGTGCTACCCGGCGGTCCCGAGTACACGATAATTATCGCGCGCCTCTGTGTACACTCTGCTCGTACCTTGGATCGAAAACTACTTTACGCCTAGCGTTTCATCCGTTTATTGAACTCGCGCCTCTGTGACTAAGCGGAACATTTCCCGCAAAATCTTTTGTCTCGAGTTTACCCTGAAGAATAATTAAAGCATAAATTGAAAATTTTTTATGTACTAAACGAAAGTATTAATAGGAATTATATAAAAGAGAAAGCGTACACACAGGGCAAGAGAGAAGCATTATAAATTCTTATTTCAGTAGTAATATCCGCTAATTCTCAGACCAATATTATCGTCCTAAATTAATTACTAAATTAAAGCTTGAAGTGACTTGAATTCGAACGCATATGACGTAGAAGTCAATTTAAGTTACTATTGCTTCTGATTTAATACTGTACTGCAAACTTCTTTTTTTAATATTAAACAATGAAAATAGTGTGCTAATTCTCGATCAACAATCAAACTGCCTTACGCAATATCTATTACGTTTAAAGATTCACGCGATGAATCGGTGAGCGTGAACAGTGATGTCAGAATCTCGATTGCTTCAAGAATACTCTTTAATAACTTCCATCGCGATTCAATGGCCGTTCTGTGAAGACATAATGCCCCGCGTAATAAAATCGATACCTCCCGAGACGAGAAAGCCAACAGTATCATTCTGCAACTCCGGTGATAAAAGAAAAACGACATAGGCGCTCTCGCCCTGCTCTCCTTCGTGCAAGTCACACAGAATGACACAGTTGTTCTCTCTCGTCGCCGAAATGTTGACACAATAAATTGAAAGCGAACTTACTTTATACTCGTGGAACTTGATCGTGCGGGTCTTGGGCTGGCTCTTGGTCTTCGACTTCTTTCTGTTCTTGTCCTTCCCGGGGGCGTCGCTCCTTTGGCACGTGGTGGCGGCTATCGGGCTTGGCTGGGGCCGCGGGGTGATCGCCGCCGGCGGCGGCGCCGGAGGCGAAGCTATCGAGATGTTGGAAAGGGGGCTCAGGCTGGACGTCGTTGAGCCCAGGGACATCGGGCTCGGCGCCGGCGCCAATGGTAGGAGGGTCGTCGACGGACCATTCGTTTGGCTCGCCTATGTATTAAAAGAGGGAGAGATCGTCTGATGGTTTTTCAAACTTCCCACAATGCGACCGACACGCGACATCGATCGCCATCGACATAATTGCCGGCGACCTCCTAAATACCGGAATTAGGAGTCGCGATTAATCTTCGTCGCGTTCGACGAAGATTAATGCTTTCATTGCCGCTTAGACGTTCAGATGTCAAGCTCGAAAAACTATCATAGTTCCAAGTGCGAGAGACAGAGCTCGATGACACGTGTCATGTCGATGTATAAGACAATAAAGGAATTGATGTTTGCATCAATTACTGTTCTTGCGCCAAACTTACCTGCGTAGATGTGTGTTGCTGGCCCTGTTGAGCTTGCTGCTGCTGCTGCGTGCCTACAACGGTGTTGCAGAGCTCGGCGAACGTCTGTATCGTCGATTCCGTCGACGTTTGCTGGAAGACGGGGGATGTCGATGAGACCACAACGGCGCCGCCGGTCGTCGGTATGCTCAGGGAGACCGTGACGATGCCCGCGGAGGCCGCCGCGGTTTCCAGGACGTCCGACGATCGCGACTCCAGCTGCGGCGAAGGCGCGCCCTCCGAGCTCTGGGAATCATCCTCGAAAGTGATGTAATGATCCGGGTGCTGGGGTTTCGTCACCTGTCCCTCGCAGGTAGCCTTGAAGGGAATGTGACCCTCTGGGGAAGAAATTTAATTAAGGAAAATCGCCTCGATGCCGTGTAGGGTATAGCAGAAGGCTTCAAGATTGTAAAAATTGAATTTGACATTAATATTACGTTAATGGATTTAACGTAATAAGCAAAACTTGCTGATTTTACACATATCGCATTTTTTGTTATATATTATGTATCATTTTATTTTAGTAGAGGCTATCGCGAGAGAGATACCTTTGACCGCCCTCTCGATGGGCTCTTCAGTATGAAGGATGTTCTTCTGAATGAGCTCGAGCGGACCAGGTCGATGACTGAGCTGATCGTTGAGCTGATCGGCTAGCCTGGCCTTCTTCAGCATTCGCTGCCGCTCGGCCAGACTCGGGTCCACGTGACCTACATCCTCGAGGATGTGCTGCCGGACCAGCTCGTCCCTTCCTGGTCTCTGCTGAATCTTCGCCTTCAGCAGATCGCCCGTCTTCGCTCGCTCCAGCTGCTTCCGTTGCTCGTGAAACGCCGGTGGCGTCTTCAACGCTGCTCGGGAAAGGAAAAACATTCGTGTCATATCGTACTCGCTTCGGGCGCGATTAATTTTAAGACATCGCGTTGAAAGCTGCTTCGAGTAGCGCAGAGAGTCAGTCATCGCGGAAGAAATTCAAGGGGCTGTCATTGCTTTTATATTCGTAATTTTAGATCGCAATTTTCGATCTTTCGATCAAGTAAACTTTCCTTTAAAAAAAAAGAGAAGAAAATAGTAAATGCCAAATTTCTCAGTACGAGACGTGACGCAGATATCAATTTCCGGAATGATGGTCCTCAGAGATGCCGTTTTGATGTCAACGTGACGCGTCTTCGGGCTCCCGCATTCCCCAGCGCCGTTAAATCGGTGGATAAATGATCCCCGAAGCGTGTCCCTATCACTATTTCCGGACGCGGATGCTGCCGCGCGCGTCGCGTCGCGTCGGTGCGACTCAGACACGGACGTCGTCATTACGCGGAATAAAAGGCACGTACGGTCGCCGTGTCGCCGATGTCGGCAGCGGAAATGTGAAAATACACGGGCGCCCTGGTATTTTAACCGCGCGCTTGTAAGTTTCCATCCAGCCAGTCGTGGAACGGGGCACGGGCCGGCGGGGCTCTTTCCCCGTCGCGCGAGTTTTTTTTAGCGTCTTCGAGATTAATCGTGAATGTAATTCTCTTGCGCGTCGTCGCGCGGCCGCGAGAGATGCAACGCCGTTCCCTCGGTTATTACTCTTCGGCTCGTTACGGGGAATTTACGGTACTTTCGCGAAGGTACGAGGGGCGAGTAAAAAAAGAAATGGGGAGGGAGGGATTTCTGATCTCTCGCGCGGAGGATCGTACTAAATTCGCGGGATGCTGTAGGATCGCTTATGGACCGATCTATAATTTACATCTCTTCGCGGGTACGTATGTTTCTTGCTTTGCTCTCTCTCTCGATCGAAATGCGTCGCCGTGCGTTTTCGTCTCCTCCTTTTCGAGACCATCAGTTATTTCATTTCCTTTTGAGAGCGAGATGTCAGAGGCCCGATGAGATGTGCTCCAAGACGTCTGACGTCCTTGCGACGCCTATTCTAATCTCGGACGAACTGTCCGAACTGCGTCGTTAATTTGCCGCAATAAACGTCGCCCCTTCCGCGGTTGGAATAGACTCAAGATTCGACAAATACAATAAGAGACTGTGGTTTCTACACGACGATTGACATCGAGAGAAAAACGTGTAGGCCTATTCGTATTTATTCGTTGTACTCGCGATGGCGATCATGTTGATGTACGATTTGGCGCATGACTTACTGTGTAGAAAAGCAACAAATTTAACGGCAATTTAATACTGTCGTAAGTACATAACGTATTACAATTGAATTTAATCTTGCCATTTGTAATATTCGTAACAAACAACTTCCTACGTTTTATTTTTTCAATTAATAATTTTCAGCATATCCGATATCCATATTTAATAAAACTAAGAATACTAATTAAATTTTTGTGTACCTATAAATCTCATAAATATAAAATAAAATAATATCTATCAAATCGCAAATAGAAACTAGGACGTTAAATTTCGTATAATCTTCAAATAGTATTGTAAATAAAAACACGGATAATAGTGATAAAAAAGAAGAAATTGTCCAATCTCGAAAAACGTTTCGCAGAAACCTGTCAATTTCTGAAAGTAATGGATTTATAACGTAATCGGCTTCTGCGAAAACAGCCATTATTTTCAGGCGCGTGGATGTGTACATGGGCGGGCTTGCTTTAAAGCCCCAGAAAGTCGCAGATGAATGAACTCTGCGCGGTATGGAAATGCACGTGCACACACGCGATTTCGCGTGTAAAGTCGAACGAGGCCTATCAAACCGCGTATTTTCATCAGCCCGACGATATATACCGGGCGGGCGCTATAAACGTGCCGGCGCGCGCGCGTACGGTAACAAGAGCAATATTTTAGGGTGTGACCCAAATAATTACTGAATGCTCGTGCTCTCGTTCTGGTAAACATTTGGTACCCGTCGTAAATCTACCGAGCAACTAGACTGCCGCTCTTATACCGTTGATCGCTTTGGGGATTTCGGGAGCGAGCATACGCCATACGCCGCGCGAATGTTTTTACTTTTGCTGCTTCATTTACGCTTGCCGTTGCATACCGCGAGAGTTTAGTTCATTTTAGCCCACGACGACGGCGAGGAAAAATTGATCGAAAGAGCGACAAAAAATTGATTGCTTATTATCACATCTTTTACGAATATAAAATGCAAACAAAATACTGGATATTTTGTGACTACTAAAATATATTCATAAATAATTTTTGAAAAGTGCATAATTATATATTTTGAAAAAAATAGAACTTATTGTATTTTTCTCGGAAAAAACTTTAATTGTTTTTTTTGTCGATTTGTGTCCTTTCTGAAATGACTGATTTAATTATCAAGAGATTAATTGACCGACTTGAAAGCGACCTAATTCGTTTCGCTTCAAAACTCACAAAAACCGATCGCTAATTGTCAATTTGTTTAATCGTTGCGAAGCAATTTACCACGATCTAGAAGTGTCCTAGATATCAGTCCTATATACTTCTTACGATCCTTGAGAACGGCGCGATAATTAACTCGTGCGTGTATCAATCGATCCCACGTATTAGCGAAGATGTTTTTAATGACCGCAAAGACCAAGCCGGCAATGACGTTCAATAACGGTTGTAACGAGAGTTACGTCGATCGCGATCGCAACCATCGCAACCATCGGCGAGGGTTTAACAGCCCCGAGTCGTACAGGCGCAATTTTCCGCGGCGCAGAAAGAAAAAAAGTGTATATAAACGGTGTAATAAACAAGCGGATCAACACTTACGTGGCATGATGCCTTGCGCAACCAGCTGATTGATGGGTCGCCTCAGCATGAGCTTCACCTTCAACGCTGCAACAGAAAAAGGGTGCCGCCGGTCATAAAGTGCGCCTCCTTAGTTATGGGGAAGAAATTAGGGGCCAATTCGAGTGAGCGGCCGCCTCTTCGTGGAACTTTTATTCGAACGAGTGCGTTGCACCTCGACGAGACGCGGCGCGGCGCGAAGAGGCGGTCGTTCGTTCGTGAAATCCTCCCGTCTCTCGCCGGCATCTCGCTCCAATTTCTGTGGGATTTCCGCGGAGGAGTCGCGACAGCCGCGAAAGCTCAAGTCGCGACGCGAGATGCTTCTATAAAAATCGCGGAGATCAAAGTCGATCACTCGCCTTAACTCGCGGCGCGGATCTTTTCCCTGCCGAGTTATTTTTCTCGCATATCACGCACGTCTTTTTGGTCCTTTTAAAGATGAAATGGCGTATATAACATTTTTTATAACAGGGTGTTAAAGAAGAAATTAATTCGATTCTATTTTTATCAGCATTATTGTTTTATTACAATAATATGTACAATTTTCGTTTTATTAATTAATACTTTATTACTTAATAATTATTTTATTAAATTTTATTAACATAACAATCTTTATAACAGGATGTTAAAGAAGAAATTAATTTGATTCTACTTTTATTGGCATTATTGTTTTATAAATATGCACAAAGTATTGTATAGAAATAATAACGTAATTAACATCAAAATAAAAATCCTACACATTGGATATGTGCTACCTTTTAAAATAACATTTCAATTTTCATAAAAAAAGATCGTAGATAGATTTTTCTATATATTGTTATAGTAACATTTTATATGATATTATATGATATTAACTTCCTCTTTACATATATTTTTAACAAAAAATAAATTCAACCTGAGTTACTTAACATGACTGCACCATGTACTTTTAATCTCGCATCGTTGACGTTTTCCAATTAGTACTGGCTTTCCTGTAAACCAAGAAATGCAGATGCAAAGATGCGAAGGTGCGTTGGATCGATCAAAAAGTTCGAGAAGATTCACGATTTCTTCTCCGCGCAAGATACCCGAATACAAATTAACACACAAAGGGTCCGGCGGTTATAAATACGCGCACGACGCGGGCCAGATTGCATAAATTGCCTGCAAAAGAACAAAAACGCGGAGGCCGCATGGCCGTGCGATTCTGAATTCAAAGCAGCCAATGTGCCGGCGAAATGTCTGGCGCATTGCCTTTGAGCATAATGGCTCATCCGCGGTGGGATTTGTTACTCTAGCGCTACCGCTGAACTTTGTAGCTGAGTTCCCTCGAATCGTCAACGAATGTTAAATTGGCAGCTTTCTCTCTTTCCTTCGATCTCTCACGTCTTGTTAGAATTAATCAGCGTTGAATGAAAATTATACTTGTGATGTTGCGAGTGTTTTCCGCTGTATGCCGGCATTGATGAATAATAATTAAATTCCCTGCGTGTAATTACACTTAAATCACTATTTCGGGACTGAAATATGGTCGCTCAGATTTCGGGCAACATTGTACTTTGGCATGAAATAACTTATTCGCTGCGACGTTGCAAATCCATTTGGAAGTGATGTATTGCATTTATGCCTTGGATTTCTTATGTAAATAACGCACACATACGCGTCGAGCAAGACAAAATTATCACGGAATTTGATCCTTTATGCGCTTCCTTCTCTCGCTAGCTGAGTGGTCATTAGCACCTGTCTCCACGTCTTATAGTTTTGTCTAGTGGATTCTACTTTGGCATTTTATCTCCTCGCTCCGCCTTCTTTGTTCCACCATGATGTGTCTAGAATCGTCCCGAGATTAAAACAATATTTTCTCGTTTCGTAACCAGCACGCGCTTTCGCTGCTATAGATGCGACCCTCGTGTATTTTAGTATTTCCGCCCCTCCGAAAACGCCCATGCTATCTTGTACAACAAAATGTGCAATCACGAGTACAGCTACATGTGCCGAACGTGATTTCCAGGATCGATAACGGGGATACCGATCAGGAATGCTCGTTAAGGGATAAGACGATCGCGATTAAAGCGCGTTGATAAGATTCCATAGTGTTTGCTTGCACCTTGTACCTACAGTTATAATAATTCGTACTTGATCGCGATTCCGATTGTGAATCGGCGCGTTCCGCGATTATCGCATCGTAATAATAATAATTCGCGCTAATTAGCGATTCCGTTTCATCGAATTAAATCAGATCGGGGATTGGTTGCTGCGAAATAATAAGTTTGCCAGCTCCACTCTACCTCCACTCTAGTCTCTTTAATAATACGGCGTAAACTCAACAATATGTCGTAACAACATCGCCGCTCTTTATGGACAATCGACTTCATTCTGCGGTGCCGCAATTGTGACCGCGTTTTATGAATTGCGAGGATATTTTATTATGCAAGGATATCTCGTGGACCAAAAAGCTCAAGATATACTGGACAATCTTAAAGATTTTTATATTAGGTCTTTCAAAAAATTTCCAAAAATTACAATTATCATTGTAAATTAATACATGAATTGAAGATTCGTTATATTATACAGTTACAATCTCGATTTCCAACTTTATAACGAGAGAATCGGTAATTAAGATTTTGATAAGCCGCAAATTCGAGCGAAACGGAGCAGAACGTAACGGAGTAAATCCAGATTGGAGCACGGAAGGGAGGATAAGAGACGCGGAGAAGATAGATGCTAACGACCAATGTGGCATTAACTACCGAGAGATATGCTGGACCAAACGATGACTCTCTCTTTCTTTCTCTCTCTCTCTCTCTCTGTTTCTCAAGCACGACACACGTGCATAGTTGCGCACGTGCATAGTTGTCCCGTGTGTAGCCTGTGGCACAGCAGGTTACGACTTCGTGGCTCGTGGTCGATCGCGCTTATGCGAATTCTCATCGTGTTTCGCATTTCTGGAAGCTACTGTCGTTATTTCGCTTCGGTAAGCCATGCCGCATCGCGCTGCGCCGCTATGGCTAATTTCTTAACCCCATGAGGTCGAGCAGCCTCCGAGTTCCGCGCGAAATCGAGTTTCAACACGCCGTAATTAATGGCGAGACGGCGGGAGGTCAAAACTCAAGAAGATAACTCTGAAACATATATTCCGCGGTTCACGAATAGATTTTGGAGAAAATATTCACAGCAACAAATTTAGATCTGATCCTCCTATGTTATCTAGTAAAAAAGTAATTAGCTCAAAAACATTTAAAATTAAGTAACTTTATTGCGTTGAGTGTCTTTTTTATATACGATTTTTTATATATGAAGAAAAGTATTATTTAGAGATGGAATATACACTGAAAAAAAATTTTTTAGATCCAAGAAAATATTTATTTGATATAGTACTAATGACATATTTACTTAATATAATCACATATTTATTTAGAATTAGATATTTTTACTTAATATTATATTATTATATCAAATAAATATTTTCTTGGATCTAAAAAAATTTTTTTTTAGTGTAGATATGCAATATTAACAAAGCAATATTAAAGTAGTTATTCTTTATTTTTTCGTAAAAATTGCGCTGTTCCTATCCATTTGGAGCAACCGTCATTATTTATATACACTTACGTGCACAAATATACGAATGACTAATACGTCGGAGTATTGATGCTATCTATCATATTCCAGTATTTCCAAATGTTTACACAGTAAACACGATAAATCTCGTAGTCGACACCTTTTACGATTACAATAAAACTCACGACGATAATATCGCATTGATGTTACGGTATTACTCTTCCCTATGCAAATCCCATTTCCCGATTCGAGACGCGGGGGTCTACTTACGCGAGCGTTTACACGCACGCATTATGCGTGAGAATTTATATCGGGGTGTTCACTTGGAGCCAAATTCATTACCGGCCTCCTACGCGTCGGGCCGCGTCGAGTTCTCTCGTGTTAATTGCAAAGTTTCCGGATGCCGTGAGATATGGGAACCACGCGACGCCGCAGGCATTCGCGCCATCCATAGAATGCAGATTTGCGCCGGTGGATTCCTCGGGGGAGGCGATTATCCCCACGTGCATCGAACGCGTACAGCCTTTACCACTTTGATTCTCGCTTCGGCCATTTCTTCCCTCCGCGATGCAACGTGCATTACGAACACTCGCGCTAATTCAACGGGTAGTGATCGATCCGGTCGTAAGAATAATCGGATACTTTGTCCGATATTATAAGTATTGTTACAATTGATGCGACTTTACTTTTTTGTCACAGCTTGTGCGCAACTTGTAGAAGTAAAAATAAAAGTATCAACTTTTAAAGTAAAAGCTTTTGTTAGCAATAAAATCGCTGAAATGCAATACAAGTTGCACACTTGCGGTCGATATTCGCGATGCTATTATTCTAATCCGTAGGACGTAAGTGACGTAACGTAAAGGCCACCCAAAGCTACCGTCGATTTTACGATCATCTCGCTAACGCGTTCCTTACGCGCTTGCTTTATGACGATGAGACGGTCGGCAAATAAATCACCGCGCGACCGGAATCCTAAGCGCGGCGTTAAAGTGTTAAAGAGTTCCGGAAGACACCGGATTCCTGCGACCGTCCCATAAATATTCGTGAATTCGTTCCCGCTGTTCTGACCCCAATTTTCGGTCTCGCTCTTCAACCGATTTCGACAAATTACCGCCGCGTTTCAGCATCGATAATTTCGTGTGCATCGTGTGTGTCGCAAGAAAGCGCATAAAACGCGATGCTAACGCATGCATTTACCGAGAGTTTCTACGACCGGAGGATATTGGCGTTCTGATAGGACAATTTGCAAGCAGAATGTATCAGATCAATATTATCCAGAGAGATCTATGAATATTAGGGAACTTTCGCAGTATATCATGTTAAATTGTGACGTATTTATTGGGGACCTTTTATGACCGCGAGATATTGCATCCCGATAGAATAACAAATCTGGTAGCGCGTGCATAAATAGAAATTACTCCTCGGTTGATATATTGAGCGTAAAAGTTTATGAATATTAAATGACTTCGCAATTCTACAATTTGCGTAAAGTAAATGCTATAATCATGGAT